CTTCCTGGGCTCTACTTCCACTGACTCATCTTCATACCTCATCTGCTTAACTTAATTATGACTGGACTCTGACTTTGCCCCTAATTCCCCCACCTTTTTTTTTTTTAAAGACAGGGTCTTGCTATGTAGCTTATGCTGTCCTCAAACTTGGGATCCTCCTGCTGGATTTCAGGCAAGCAACACCACACCTGGCCCTTTCCCCCTTTGAAATGTGGGTTTAGCCCACTGGGCTACAATTGTTGTCAACACTTGAATCTGGAACTATGCCTTGACTCCAGTTCTTCATCCATCCCTGTTCTGAACAGAAATTAGTTTCACATTTTCAGCTCTCAGAAACTGGTCATGCTAAAATTGATTCAGGCTTGCTCAGTCTGGGTCAGAAGGTAATTTTATGTGTGTATCATGGACAAGATAGAAAATGATCCAGAGTGTGAGGGATGGTTGGTCTTCCAAAGATAAAAAAGGAGAAAGTTGGTGAGAGTGGAGATGATCTGAGCACAGACTTATTCTTAGACAATTGCAAAGACTGAGTAACACCTCTCATGTGTGTCTCCTCTTGTCCACTCTGCTAATCTTGTGAGCTATCCCTTCCCTCTCTAGAGGTGGCACAGGATGAATGCACAGGCTATGGCAATTGAGAGAATGTAGCCTTGAACAAAATAAAGAAGTCAAAGATGACTGAGTTTCCAAGAGGAGGATATAAAAAGAAGATGGTGCCGTTATGGGAACCATTGAACACTGAAGATGGAACAAGTCTGGGGAAGGAATGGTAAACCATAGAGTCAGATGTCTCTGACTTCAAATAACTGAAGAATTCTGTGTAACACTGTTGAACACAAGAAAATGCTATGGACACAGAAGTTCTCCAGTAGTTTTGAGACAAATCCTGAGTCAGCAGGATTCTGAGTCAGATCCATGTTGTCTTGTTGTTAACTCTCCGCAGACATATTCACACATTAAGGGCTGTAGACTCTTAAATGCCAGTGTGGAAATGCTCTGCTATTTCAGAGTATCATCACACTTTTGTGCCCATAAAGCCAGGGTGTTAACTAGAGAAAAATGGCAACAAAATTAAGAAGGATCAGGTTGATTTATGTTCTGCTGATCAAACCTCAAGTAAAACCAAGATCTTCAAAGCAAGAGTTATGCTACTCTTCACTGGTTGCTAATTATTGGAAATTCATCCTTCTGAGGATAAGATTCCACAATACAAAAACATTGCTATTCACCATGGTTATTATGAGGGCTAAATGAATCATATGTGTAAAGAACAGAGCTTGTTCTTAACCCCTCACCTTCAACCAAAGAAGGGCACTTATTAGAACCACTAACCAAACCTGAAACATAAGAGAACACCTATTCTATAAGTGCTTTCTTTGCCAATGTCTTCCCAAGATTGTCTTTGTCCACTGTTGCTTCTTTCTCATCTTTCAGTTGTTCTTGGTGGACAACACGGATGTTGCTGCCTCAGCATCAATTCTTTCCTTGCCCATTCTCTTGGGGCCTCATGATAGGGTGTGACTGAGTACACACTCCCACCCCCCAGGAATCTACAGCAGTCATGGTCGTCCTGCTTTTGTTTCTGTAATGACTACTCAGTGTGGCTTCAGGACCAGAGATAGCCCAATTGGAGGAAAGTGGAGAAGCTTGTTTGGAGGATAGAGGTAATGGATTGGAAAGGTAATGCCTGTGCTTATCTGACCAGTACAAGTAAATCTACCAAAAGGATGAAGCCTTCACTCAGGGCAGAGCCAAAAGAGCAGCAGAAGAAACTCATCAAACTACAACTAAAAACTACTCTGAGGGTTTTCTTGTTAATTGGTTAGCCAATGAATTCAGTGAATTCCCTTTATTAAGTTAATCTGTACCAAAATCATCCTAAGGGATACTTTGATCAGATTTCTTCCCCTCCCCATCTCCGCATTTATGCTGCTGTGGTTGTGGCTTTTCTGTGACATTCACATTAACAAATCAATGAATTACTCTTCAGTTCTTCCTTTATCTAGCCCTTAAGTGATAGAGCTGTTAAACAGACACACTCAAAAAATACAACAACAAAAACCCCAGGAAACCAGACACATTCACAACTGTGAAATGACATATGTAAAAAGATACTAATTGTAGTGAGGTTTTTTTGGCAGTACTGGGATTTGAGCTCAGGGCCTCATGCTTGCTAGGCAGGCGCTCTACCACTTGAGCCACTCTGCTAGCTAAATATAGTATTTTTTGAGAAAGAAAAATATTGAAAACAAGCCTAAAATGCTTACTAATAAAAGACATTTAAATAAATTATGGATTTATATACTGGGTTAATATCTAGATATTTAATCCAATGAGACAGCTCTCTTACTGATATAGCTCTGTCTCTGAGACATATGAAATGAGAAAAAATGAAGTATGGAATAAGACATCAAGGATGCTATTCCTTGGGTAGAAAAAAAACAAGACTTAATGTACATGCTCATTAATGCATCGAGAAGATGGAAGAATTCACAAGGAATAAGTAACTCCTTACATCCAGAAAAGAAAACTGGGCAGCTGAGATGGCTGAAAGGAAGAAAATTCCTTACTACATAAATATTTCCTTACTTTTCGATTATACTAGTTTGAAAAAACTAGTGTAAAATACTTAACATGCAGAAATGTTACTTGTTTTTTCTTTTGTCTTTTTTTTGCGATAAAAAGTTCCTTGTGATTATGACTAGTGCTATCTACTAAAAATTCCAATTTCTTCTCCCAGGCACATGATAGGCTATGACTTTCCCATCATTGGCACTAGATGAGGTAATGCAGCTTTCTTGGGACAATGAAATGTGGACAAAATAATGTTTGTTATATCCACAGGAGTCAGTGTGACACTTGCCAAAAATGCTTTCCTTCTACCATGGTGAAGGGCAGTGCTCAAAACTGGTGGCTCTTCGAACAGCTGAGTCTTGATATGAGGACTGCTTGGAGTAGAGAGCCCAGTAGAATACTATGATGCAATTTTAGTGTTAAGTCCCTGAAATTTGAGGGTGGTATATTATCATAGCATAATCTGGCCTAGAGTCACTGCATTTTACAAGGTTTAATCCTAAGCCTTTTGTCGTTGCAGTGTTCCCATAAAACTTCATCTATTCTCACGATTTGACTGATGTCACCCACCTCTCAGTTTTATCTACTTCTCTGAGCTCCAGATAACCTTATCAAGTGACCTATTCGTTAATAACCTTTACTTGGTTATCTCGCAGGAGTCTCCAAATCTAAAAAATGTGATGATTACTCCTGTCTCTTCATCTTCTCACATAAAATTGCTCTCATCCAGTCTTCCTCAAATCATTGAAGCTACTCCCATTCAAGAAGTTATTCAAACCAGAAATCTAGAAATCACTTTTCATATCTTCCTTTCCCTCCGAATGCTTTATCTAGTTCATCACTAAATAAGTATGATATAAAAATTTGGTCAAATCCCGTCATCTCTCTGGATCTTTCCTGAGACTTTTGTCCTTGCTACCTTCTTTTGTCATCTGTCAGCATTCCAGCTTTCATCATTGCTTCCTTCCAATTTCCTCCAGCTAGAGTAATCATTCACATCTATGAAGGACTGTGTCACTCGTTCTTTAAGATCCCTTCAGTGAATCCACAATGCACTAAAAGTAAAATACAGCTCTAGAGTACATCTGAAAGACCTTATGGGACTTGATTCTGCCTACCTGTAATATCTTATTCCACATTTTTCCTCCCACACTTTAAGGAGGTATTCATTGCTCATCTTGAACATGCCAAGAAGTGTTTCACCACTGAACTTCAATGCTAATTTTGTGCTTTCTTTTCTTAGAATGTTCTGTTTCTTCCTAGTCATCTACCTGGATATTTAGATTTAGATGCTTTAAAAAATATGTTGTTCCAGAGAAACCTTTTCTAACCAATCAAACTTTAGCAAGTAACCCCTCTTCCAATGTTGTTCTCCCTCACTACTCTGTCATTTCTTTAATTGCTCATTTATCTCTTATAATTACATATTGATTTGTGTTTGTTTAATTTATTTTTTCCACTAGACAAAAATCAATCAGGTTGGGTGTTTTCTTCATTGTTCTGTACCTTACGTCTACGACAATGTCTGACATTTAAGTGAATCAATAAAAGAATGAACAAGTTTTCATATTGTACTCAGTGTGATATAAGGTATACAACTTAGTGGTCACAAGTCTGTTGTACAATTGTCATAGACCCATGAACTCTTCCCACCCAGGACCTTCCAGATACAAAGTGGTAATAAAAGAATGCTTTAATGAAAGGGTGAAGTCGTTTCAAGAAATTTGGTCTCTAGGGTAGATAGGGAATATCACTGAAGAAATATTTGTGTTAGAACAAGAGAGGGCTGGACTCCAAACCAGTTTTGTTTCCCCGTCTGTAAAATTATGACGTGGACTAGATAATATGCTAGGTTTGCAGGCTTCAACATTCTAGAATGCTATTTCCCATGTTTGCCTAGACCCAGTTCCAAGGACAACTGGTGACCTTCCTCCTTCTTCTTTAGTGTGTATTGAGCACTTACAATATTTGAGTTGCAAATAAAGATCTTGTTGGGGCACAGAAAAAGAGTGTATATGTGACAGTTGTGTGTCCTACCCATGGAACATATGATCCTTTTACACCTACTGGCGGAGCATCTGTCAAATGCTTGGTACTTAGTGTGGTCAGTGTGGTCATGAATTGCTCTAGGAAGCAAGGAACAGGCCAAAAATAAAATAAAATATCTTTATTAAATAATAAATAAGACAGGCATAGAGATAATCCTCTCACAAACTATAAATGAATATTTCTCATTTCTGTGCAATGTAATTCAAAAGCAAGTGAAGGAGTTCAGACAAGTCTCCATGACACATAAATATGTCTGAAAGGCTCAGCTTTGGCCAATGCATGTGCAGGAATAATTAATCATCCTGACTCACAATAAATTAGTTGAATAATTATTAGATTAATTTAAAACACCCATGTCTGTCATCTCCTTGTTTCAATTAACACAGTAACCAGCTGTTACTCTTCAATATATTTGTCACCATCCTGGCATTCAGATCAAACTCAAACTGTGAAGATCCACAGAAGAAATAGAAAAACCCTGTAAATGCAGATGAAGAAAATGATGAGTTATTCTCAAAATAAATCAATCTTGTGACATGCATAACTTGGAACAAGAGTGAACTCATAATGCATGATGTTTATTAAGCAGTGCTCTGTGCTAGGCACTTGCTGAAAGCTTTACCTGTTTTAGCTCATTGAACCTTGCAACAAAAAGTGAGGTGTTATTAGTGAGGACAAAACTGAAAATTAGGAAGGCTTAATGATTTTCCCAAGGTAACATCTCCACTGAAAGATGGAGGGAAGATTCCATCTCAACTGTCCGACTACAAAGCCAGTGATCTAAAACATTAGATTATACCAAATAGGTGGAGTTGTATGGCATTTTAATACTTTAGGGTCCCCCTCTTTTTCCTTCCTGCATCTCTTCCCCCTACTACATCCTAATGCACAGTTTGGGAGGCAGTTGGGTCCAAGAGAAGCACATGAGATTCATTTCCTGTTTTTCATACTTATGGTGGTTGTCATAGTAAGTCATCAGTCTCACCAGCATTAGGATGGGCAAGTCTAAAATCCCTTTAGAGGAAGTAAGCCTAAGTTTTGCCTTCCCACCTACGCATTACCAAGAATCAAACTTTATCTATTTTGAGCATGTGGGAAGGCCACTATTTACTTACAAATAGCTAATGTTAAAAATTGCAGACTATAAAAGCCCCCACAAGGCCCTTTGGATGGGATAGGAGAGAAGGGACAACAGAACAGGATGAGAGGTGAATGAAAACTAGCCATCAGTAAACCTGGCTCACACTTAATTGGATTTTTATAGCAACATAGTGACCAGAAAGGTAATGACTTTTCTGTGAGGATGTATCTTTGATTTGGAGTGCAGGTACGAAACAAAGACTTGGAAGATACTCAAGAAAAACAAAACATGAACCCAATTTGCATGAACTGGAAAGTTAAAATTTTCAAGAGTTTGGATTAAAATGCATATAAGACTGGATAACTTGATATTTTAGCAACTTTACAGAGGTACTATTTGCATAGCATAAAATCTACCAATTTTAAGTGTACAGTTTAATAGATTTTAGTGAATGTTTTACAAAGATTTATACACAAAGTTTTTATCAGCATTTTCTACAATAGGCAAAGAACTGAAACAGCCTAAAATACCCTTCACACAATTTTGATACCATAAAACACTCTAACGGACCCCATTGCCTATGACTTAAAGATAATCTTACCAAATGCCTGTAACACAGCATCAACCTTTGGTTGAACTCCTGGAAAGTCATTAGCTATCAGTCTGGGGAAGCCTTTCTCCATGGATTGACTCTTTTCATCAAACCTGCAGCAAGTGAAAGGAATTCAACTCAATACTACAGAGAAGTCTCTTCAGATGCAACAGTATAATGTGACGTTAACATTCCAGCGTGGAATCTTTGATAAAATTTTCAAGTTGTACAAAGCATCGAATATCTTTAATGCTACAGTAATATGTGACTTTTCAGGACTTACAAGCTTTTCACATAAAACAATATTTTCTCCAAAACAGGAATACCATACTATATTCTAAACAGTTCTGTATTTATATCTGAAGTCAATTTTCTAAGCCTGGACATATAGAAGCCAAGTCCAACTCACCACAAATACATGAGGATGTAAAATGAAAATACATGAGATGGAAAATGAGCTAAATCATTTGGCTCAGTAGAAAGTTCTGGTTCCCTATCACACTGAGACCGTGTCACTATACCTGTATTTCCCATGGCAGCCAAAGGTGACTAATGAGCAATGGTTTGAGAAATAAATCTGCCTTTGCACCTCATTTGGCCTCTCTTGGAGTCTGGACATTTAGCCCAGTGGTCCATATTCTGAAAGTCCTTTGTATCTGGGAAGTTGAACAACTTCCCATAGTTAGAAAGTTTGAAGAGACTGGGGTAGCAGGTCTTCTTAAAGAAAGAAAACAATTTCCCTAATTAAGCTCCAACAAAGCCATGCCTACTGCAGCTTACCTCCAGTACTTGCTATTTACAAAGAAGTATGTTTTTTTCTTTTCCTTGTCAGAAGCAGCTGCATCAATTTTCTTTATGGTTGGAGGAAATCCCAGAGTGCGGATGTCTTTTGGATAACCTGCTTGTATTTCATTTCCTCTGACTGCCCAGAATTTATTTCCTATTGAAAAAGTAAACCCAAGAAATTTTGAGTGAAGCCACTGGTTTTAGAACTGGTATGTGCATTGCTGTGTTAAAAGAAATCTTAGTTTTAACTCCAACCACTACTCCAAAGTCTAGCTTGTATTTAATAAATATTTCCTGAATGAGTGAAAAAATGAACAATAAATGAACAAATACGTGAGTAGATAACTGAGTCTCACTGTCCTTTTCTGCATTTTGCATTTATTTATAAATTATGTTAACCAGTTCTAGGTATTTCTTACAATTGCTGGCATGACCTGTTAATCTACATTTTAACCTAGACCTCCCTTCCAAGCTCCACACTGGGAGGTCAGTTTCTTTTTGTTTTTTGAAACTGGCTCATAGGTGTTTCACAATCACCAAGTCCAGTCTGTGCTTCTTCTGAATACTATAGGAATCCACTCAAATTCAAGTGAATTAGAACAGTGGAATCCTTCCAGTCTCTCTGCCTTTAATTTCTTACACCATCCCCCATCCCAAGCCCAGATCCCTTCTTCACACCGCTGCCAAATCAAGAAACCTAAAATGCTGATCCTTTGTATTCATCTGAGTGGGGTGGCTTGTACTTGTTTGAGCAGTTCCGCATATGCTCCTACTTTGGTATGTATTAAAGACCTTTCCATCCTCTACACACTCAGCGCAACTCTACACAGCAAAGTTCTTTAAGTCTCATTGTAACACTGTCTCAGGGATCTTTGTGGAACCCTGGGTGTGGGTCAGGTGCTCCTCGTGGCTGCCCTCCCTTCCTTAATCCCAGCCCTTGTCACACTATGCACTGGCAGCCTTAGCTCTGCCGCCCATCTGGAATGTGAGCCCCTTACTTCTCCACTATTAGGCACAGTGCCTGACATATTGCAAGTAACAACCTAATGTTAGGTAAAATCATAGATAAGATTAATATTTTTTGTGGTTCTGGGGTTGGAACTCAGGTCCTTGTGCTAGCTAGACAGGTGCTCTAGAACCTCAGCCACGAACTAAGAGTAATACTTTAAAATTGAATAATCCTGCACAATTTCTAAGGCAATTTCTCATTATTTCATTTAAGCCTTCCCAAAATGAGATTGTCCGAAGTAAATATATATTTAAAATCTCCATACAGTATGACATTTAAAAATATTCTCAAATAACTTGTAAATCAAAGGGAAAAACTGGAAATAAAAAAAAAGTGCACAAAAACGAATATACTTTAATCAAAATTTCTCTGATGAAGAGAAGGGAGGATATTGATAAGCATAAATGCTTATGTCAGAAAAGAAAAAAAGGTTGCAAGTTTAAGATAAGTGTCTAAGAAGTTAAAAAACAGGATAAATTATTCAAAGTAAACAAAAAATGAAAGTAGTAATAAGTATATAGACAGAAACTAATTGAATAAAATCAAAGTACAACGGAGAAGGGTTGGGGATGAAGCTTATGGGTAGAGAGCTTGCCTAGCATGCGAGAGGCCCTGGGTTTGGTCCCCAGCACCACAACCAAAAACATAATAGAGGATCAACAAAGCCAAAAGTTAGCTCTCTAAGAAGACCAGTAAAATTATTAAATAACTTATGAGAATGATGAAGAAAAAGACAAGTAAAAAGATTCACTGTGAGGAATGAAAAGGGGAAGAAAACTTCAGTAGTAATTAATTACAACAAAAATAACACTCTGAAAACTGGATACCAATTGATTTTAAAAAGGACAAAACTGATTAATTCCTACAAAAATGCATTAAAAAACTGACTCAAGAAGTAACAACAAAAAGAGAGAGAAAGAAGTAACTCAAATGGCATTTTGCCAATTGAACAAAATGAAACAGTAGGTGTTGCAGCAATAGGTCACCTAAAATTTAATACAATGGAGAAAACTCATGAAAATCTTGCATTAGGATTTATTTCAACATGTTAGAAATTCTCATATAGAACTTACCTTTAAAAATAAAAACAGTATCCTTGCTACTATCTTCATATGCAGCATCCAAGTCTGGTGGAAGAGAAGGCCAAAAGGCAGAAATCAAATTATATTCAGGCTGGGGAGTCCACTGGGATCTGCGCCAAAAGTGTCTGTAATACATAAAAACTTACACTGTTGTCTTTCTCCTTTAAATAACAAACATATAGATGCAGATATATAAGAAAAGGAACATAATCTTTGTCAATCAATTCATTCAGTGACGCTTGCAGGTCTGCGTTGGATTGACTGTCCTGCATGTGATTCCAGGTAATGACATGATATTGGTGGAAATATTGACCAGTTATAATGCCATCATTCAGCTTAAATCCATCCTAATAGTCTGTAAAACATCATGTATATTATGCACTCATTAATATTTTTTAAATAGCATGTGCCTCTTAATGCTTGTATATGAACAGACTGTCGTGGTAAAGAGGAAAAAGAAATTATTAGTAGTGGTTGCACATAAAAGAAGGAACGGGAATGATAGGTCAGAGGTGGGAGGGATTTTTCTTCTAGTTCTATATCTTTTGGTAGTATTTGTACTATTTATGTATCACTTTTTCTAGAATTTTTTAATTAAAATAGTAGAATTTTAAGATGCTGCTCGGCTTCTAGAGATTCACCAGTACTTTTTTTGTGAAAATCTGCAAAGAGTTATTTATCAAAGCAGAGCAAAGCAGGGAGAAAGAGGAAGAGAAAGAGAAGCATCTCCTACCTGACATACAGGAGGTGGGAGCAAAGAGGCTCAAAGTGGTGGCCCTTGTACCAGGTATATTTATACTTTCTGAGCTGGGGGAATTCCAGCCTGAACCCTTATCTAGACACATGGCCATATCACTTAGTAACCCTTAATTATTTTGTTAAATTCCAAAGCTTGGAGGCAAGTACCAATAGTTTTTGAAGAATTTCCGTGATTTAGGATATTTAAAAAGTCAACCAAGCATATAACTCCCTGCCTTTTTGGAGCTTATATTCTAATAACCAAGAATTAACCTCTGTAAGTTGGTGAAGAAATAATTTGGACAAATCTAAGTAAGTGTTAAAATGCGAAAAGAACCAGATCTAAATGATTTCAAAACATGTAGAAAATATTTCATTTCAAATTTTCCATCATTTCTGTTTATTTTCCTTTTCAGAATTGTACATCAAAAAGAAAAGTAGGAAAATAAAATCTTCTTGTCTGACCTGCCTTTAAAGAACAAGAGTTCTCCCCTCAGTGTGCTGACTGCATCGAAAGACAAAGCAGGATCACATTTGGCTGGTGTCCCTGGTCCTGGAGAGAGAGATGTGTTGGGCACCATAGAGTCATCAACAGAGGAAGGAGGAGGTCCTAAAGGGAACAGATTAGGGGAAGCAAATGTTAGGAGAAATGCCAACTTTTACACTTTCCAAATATTCTTGAGTGTTTTGAGATGAAACTTTATGTACTATTTCAAAACTTTCCTGAAGACATCACTGTACTTTTCCAAAGAACACTGGTAAACAATAGGCATTCTTTTCATCATCACTCACCGTAGAGAGACTGAATGCCATCCACATCATCTTGAGAAAGGCGGAATCTGGCCAGGTCCCTGAAGGATTTATAGACTGGGTACATCAAAGCTTCAGTGTTGGCGAGTGAAAGAGACCCAGGGAGTGGCCAAGTTCATGAGCAGCAACCAGGAACAAATTGGTCCCTATTGAAAACCCATAAACGTTCAGAGTCTCACAGCTATTTATTCTACAAATACTTATACAGCTATACAGGTCATTCTTGAAATCACACGTCATATTTCCCTTATTCATGGGTTCATTGGGTTGCATGAAGGCTCCGAACAATTCTGAGAAGAAAATAGTTGTTCAAATTAAACTAGATCATTTCATGCAGCAAAACTTCAGATCTGCGTACTCTCTAAGATGTTCCTCCCATTTTCAGTTAAGATCCTAGCCAATGGCAGGAACTGGGACTGTTTTAGCAGGCTGTTTCCAAAGTTTAGAAGCCATATGAAAAAAGAAGGATAGCATGCAGTAAGTTTTAGTCATTGTGTTTTGATTCAGTAAAGTCTTTCAGAACTAATTTAGAAAAAACCAAAACCAAAACCAAAAAAACTCCTAAGCTAGCAATGTTAATGTGCTTAAACAGATGAACTAGCAATTTCTTTTAGTGCTTGGTGTTTTCTCCTGATCTTTACTTTGAAGAGAAAAAAGGGGCAAAGGAGAAAACCCAAGGACACATTTTAGGGTGTGAACTGATTCAAAGGAATTCATTCTGAACTAATCATTCATAAATAATGACCATCACTATTAATTATAATAAAAATTCAACCTCCACAGATCTTGAGTTGTGGAAATCAGATTGAATGATCTCACTGTATTGAACTTGGGAGGGGGGAGAAAGAAATGCAGACATTTTATAAGATTTTTCAATAATGATTAAATGAAGAGTACTTCTGTTTACCATACAAGTAATCAGAAATTTTAGCTATTAGGATATTTCATTTACTGCTTATTCTAGGTAAACAAATTATTCTTGGATAATTAGACATTCTGAAATCATGCTGAGGCCCACCTGATGCATCCTCTGTCCATTTTTCATCATCATCAAAGTGAACATCTCCATAAAATCCAGGCCCAGGTGGATAGGCATGAGCCAAACTGTTTCCTGGTCCATCAAAAGGGTAAAAGTCTCCATGAGCTGATGGAAAAAATGAATGGAAATGTGAATATTCAGAATTTCTTCTTATGCCTTTCCAGTAAGACACCACGAGGTGCTATGGTCTCAATGGTGGTATCTCCCCAAATCCATGTTGAAATGTAATCTCCAATGTGAGAGTATTAAAAGCTGGGGCCTTTAGGAGGTGATTAGGTTCTGAGGGCTTCATGAATGGGATTAGTGACCTCTTGATTGTTTTTGCCATGTGAGGACATAGAGGTGCCTTTTCTAAAGAACAGACTTGCCAAACACTAAATCTGCAGGCATCTCCATCTTGACTTCCCAGCCTGTAGAACTCTGCGCAATAAATTTCTGTTGTATATAAATTATCCAGTCTAAGGAATTTTGTTTTAGTAGCCTGAACTGACGAAAGCACCAGATAAGCGGATATTTTATTTCATTACCTCTAACTGCAAAGGAGATCATGATGTCAGCCTCTCCTTCATGCAGCCTGGAGAATGTGAGTGGTGTCACCTCCGCCCAGACTCTCAGCGCTTTCTCCATGACAGAATCAACCACATCTCTTGGCAAATCCAGTGTGTAATTCACAATCCTGCATGAGAAAAAAATTGAGGAAGGTAACACTTTCTACAGTGGTACAGCTTATAAAATTTCAATATCATGTAAAAAAAATTCTTTGGATCCATTACCTGTAAGTCAGGTGAGTTTTCGTCCACTTTGGTGTACCAGGAAAGGTACTGAAGTGACCAACGTCAGGAACACCACACCTGGGCTTCTGCATCACCTCCAAAGTGTTGGAGTCCAGCTTCCCCGTCACCTCCAACCCAAAGAACTTCTGCATTTCTTGGATTTTTTTAGCAACAGGGCTACTGTCCTTTCTTCTAAAAACTTGTTTTACATCTTCTATAAAATTGTAGTAGTTTTGTAGGTATTGCTGATGGAATCATAAATATGCTTTTTAAGTTATTTTTAATCATTTGCCCAAATTTAAGAATCTACTTTAATTATTACCCAATTATCTAAAAGTAGGTATCACACTTAATTTGATTTTTCATTAAGATACCTTATTTTATCATTTCATTGTAATTTAATTTGCCAAGCAAGGAAATTGATATAATTGTGTAAATTCTTTGGATGGTCATATCTTACTTTCCATTGCTAATATAGACCTGGATCAACACTGAAGTGAGATAAATTATTTTGTCTACACATGACAAATAATAAATATTTTTTCCTTCTGTTTTTGAAGATCAAGGCTAGTATGATTTCTATCTTCAATTAGTTTAACTAAAGTGGTTCTAAAGCTAGAGAGTTTTCATCTATTTTTCATTTGTTCTTTTTACTTATCCCCAAAGCTACTGTCAGTATTAGATCCCAACCTTGAATAATTATTTCTGCATCCTGTGACTTTCTTTCCTTCTCTGTTAAAACAAAGAGACTTTTCACCTGTAGCCCTTTGATATTCTCTGATACAAAACTATTCCCACACAATAACCTCTAACCAAGTTATTTTCCTGTTGGAAGACCAAGTAGGCACACTTGTTCTTCCACGCAGACTATCCAGGGGTTATAATGGATGTCATCACTAATTACCTGGGCAAGGTCCATGGTCTGGTCCTCTTCCTTCACTGCCCCATGCACAGGGTAAGCTGAGCAGAGTGGTAGACACAGTAGCAGGACAATGGCTAGGTGCTTCATTCTCTCTGCCTTTTAAGAAAACCCCTTTTCTACCTACCAGTTTCTGCCCCTACCTTCTACTGGCCACCCTTTTATAGGGAGACAACCAGCATGATTCATGTAGGTGTTTTTTTCTAATCTGGATGACGACAAGCATATTCACAAAAATTGAATCTGAAGATAATATAGTCTACTTATGTAGTTTCCCTCAACCTACTAAACTGGAAACAATGATTAATCTCCAGGAAGTGGTTTCTGTGTTCTAAAGTGGAAAAAGAACTGGTTGGATCATTCATGTTTGTTTATTTACTAGATCGCTGAAGTGCTTGGTAAAATGTCCAGTGTTCAGACATTTTAAGATCAGCATAATTTTCTTTCAGAAGAGTATATTTTAAGCTCAAATATAAATAAGTCAGGAATAAGTAGATGAATTCCAGATATAACTGTGGCCTAGATGTGGGAATTGCTATCTAGGAAGACGTAATGACAGATATTTTCTTTCTTGAGTCCTTGTTTGTAGTAGGTATTACTGGTTTTCAGATGGAATTACTGGCTCTGTAGTAGAAGCATTGTAAGAAGGATATGAGTATGAATAGAAGGGCCAGTAGAGGAAGGAAGATGCAAAGAAGGGAACCTGTGAAGTTCACTCATTCTCCATTTCAGAATGATTAACAGGGTCGTAGTAATCACTCACTAAAACTTGATAAATTGAAGTAAATAGATTTGCATATTAGACTAAAATGTTCCTACTTCCTACCTCCTCTTTGCTTTTGAAAATTCTTTTCATTCTTTTTTCGTCTTCCCAAAGTACAAAGGAAGAGATGAATTGAGATTTGTAATAGGGAATGATTTCAAGTCCTTCTTAAAAATTTTATATTGTTTTTGAATTAGCACATATTTGTAATATGGAGGGCTTTCATTGTGATAATTCCACACATGTTTACAATGTGCTTGGAACAAGTTCACTCCTTCCTTTGTATTACCACACCACACCCTCTCCTCTCTCCTTTTTAAAACAGTGTTTGGTGAGTTTTATTATGCTACCTTCACACACATACACACACACACACACACACACACACACACACACAGTGTGCTTCGATCCTCTTCACCCTTCAGTTTCTTTTCATTTCCCCTCCCCTCTCCTGCTTCTATTCCCCTCTTATCATTTTTCCTTCATTCACCCTTGTCCTTTCCTCAGCTAAGTAAAGTGCTATGTGAAAACTACACACGGTAACAAAGAAGGTACAAATTAGCCTATTAATGTGAATGACCCCAAATTTCTCTCAGTAAAGATAAATTACTTCTATCATACCTGAGGTATGAAATTTCATGTCTGAAGTATGAAGTTTCCAAGCAGTGGAAGATTAGTGAGTGTGTAGAAATGATCTTTTCGGTACCATCCACCACCCTAGTGGAGGTAGACTGGACAGGTAGGACATCCAGAGACCAGGAGGTTCTGAGATCTCCAAGCCAGAGGTGGAGGGAACTTGAATATACACTGAGCCAGCCATGTCAACTAAGGCTTAAGGTAGCCAGGGAGTTTTCTCCGTGAGCTGGTGGAGTGGAATAGATAAGCTTGAAAATCAGAGGGAAAGGAGCTGACAATAAAACTCGGACATAGTCAGCAGGACTTGAGCAAATATATATTTCTTCAGGCAATTATTTTTCATCTGTGAAAATGTGTAGATAACCTCACTTAAAATATTGTTACGTATACATTGTGCAAGAGAGCAAGTCTTTCATTTTACTCCAACATCTTTAACAGACAATACTTGTTGGCTGGATAAACCCATATGTGTGCTCCTAGGCACTGACAGGACAAGTTCTGAGATGCCTCATATTCTTTTGAGTTATACTTTATTGGTGTTGACATGTCCTGTTGAGGGATCTTATTATGTAGCAAATACAGCTATGATTATGAATATAACTGGCTAAACATCAAACCCCATGCCTCGCAGGAATGATGTTGGTGTGGGAGCTTAGCTTGCATTAAACCATCATATCCAGGAGAAATTAATTTCTTGGGGCAGTGGAGTCATGTTTGTCTTTAGTTTATTTATTGCTTATTAAATGTACTGGAGTACAGATAAGTCAGAGAAGTTGGCATATATAATTCGTCTTTAACGAAAGATGACAACTCTAGGTATAGATCTTCTACCATATACCAGGTTCTAAATGTGCATTATTTCTAATCTTTAACCTAACAAGGTTGAGATCAGAATCAGAAAAATTAAGGAATAAACTCAAGGTCAGCTAGCTAACAAGTGGTAAGAGTTTACTCGAAGCTGCCGGCATAGCACCCAACGATTACAATTCAGATGTTTATCAAAAATCTCTTGACTTACACCTTGGCTCTCTCCCAATATTTTTCTCTTAGGTTTTAACACTGATCTTTTTTCTCATTTTTGACATTGACCCTTGACCTGGCCTTCAATTTACCTCATTTGCTACTGCTAGGTTCTCCTATCTGATCATTTTGTTAATCCACTTACTTCTTTTGATCTGTGTCTACCTGCTCTGGCACCTGCAATTCCTCTTGGCTTATGCTGCACTGATGTGGTCTGTCAAAACATTTTTCTACAGTCTATCATCCTATTAATAACACTGAGGAATACCTAACAGCTCCCCACTTCCAGGTGATCCTGTTCTCAGGAATACTGGTGAGCTACATATTTTTTGACTTCCAATAATTTCTGATTTTAAGATTGTACACATACTCACATGATCCTGGGTCAAATGTGGCATGCACTAACCAGTGTTTTGCAACTTCTCCTTTTGTTGGAAATACTGATTTTATTACAAGTTGGGGTTATATCGCTAAGTCACAGACTTTAAAAAAGTGAGAAGTTTACCCCTTTTCTAAATTTGACTGCTTCAAAACAGTAACATAGTTTATTGCTGAATTTTTAGACATCCTTTCTGATCATTTAGCCAAGTATTATGGATTACCAACTCTTGCTAGAGAAAAATTATCAACTGAAGAAGGAAAAGGGTCAAAACGAGCATGACAGAGACTTCAGAAACATTGCCTTCATGTTGTTGTGAAGAACAGAATGCATAATTATTTATTGTATATACAATAACTACTATTAGTAACAATAGCTAAACACAAGGGCTGTGTGGCTGAAGCGGGGTGGGAGCTGGGACCAGAGTCAAAGCCCAGGCTGGAGACACCGTCCCGACTGGAGCGCGGTACACTGTGGGTCTGAAGTCAAGCAGCGGCCGAGATAGTTGTCTTCTTGCAACTTTTAAGGCACTGCCCACTGGGCAGAGGAACTTCCTGAAAAGTTGCCTTAAAAAATGTCCTCTCTAGGGCATTGGAAGATGGTGGCTAGAGGGAGGAAGCAGAAAGCGTGCCTCCTATAGTGAAATCTTGGAGAGACGCTGGAGACACACCTTGCAGGCAAAACCACCGAGAATAGGCAAAACTTTGACCCCTCCACACATCCAGCTGGCACAGAGAATCTCCACTTCATGTTAAATGGAGAAACCAGGAGGGCCCCCAGGCTGCCAGTCGCCCACGCCCAGACGGCTGGGGAAGACAAGTTTTGTTCTATTTTATTTTTCCCCTTTGATGAGACAACTACAGAACAACATCTGAGGCACCATCTCCAGGACTGGAGGCTGAGATGGACACCAAAATTATTAAGACTGAAACTTCATTGCATTTGAACTTGGAGGTTTTTTTTTTCTATTTTTCATACTGTTTTATTTTATTTTATTTATATTTTTTCTTTCATTTACTTATTTTTTATTTTTATTCTTATCTTTATTCTTTTTATTTTTTATTTTCAATCCTCTCTCTGTCTCTCTAATGCCTGTTCAGCTTACTGTCGATTAGTACACTAAGCTCCCTGTTTATATCTTTGAAAATTTTTGTTTGACCCTTTGTTTTGTTTTTTCCTACTTGTGTATTTGTTTTTCCCTTTTCTTTAACTTCTTGCTTTCCATCTCCTCTCACCCTTCCATTCTGAATATCACCATTGTTATTATTGCAAGCTAGAAAATACTTAATTGCACACAGTACAGGGACAGTAACAACACCAAGGACAATGACGGGAAGACAGAAAAAAAGGGAAACCAGTTTCCCCACAGCAAAAAATTAGCACAGGAACCAGAGGGAAATGAAGAAAACAGATACTCAGATCCAGACTCCAAGAAAATGAAGATAAACTATGCCAAAGGACCCAATGAAGCACACAAGAATAATTTAAAAGAAGACATACTACAGGTACTCAATGAGAATTTTATAGAGATGATACTGGACAGGGTCAACCAAAATGTACAGGAGACACTCAAGAAATTCCAAGACAACAAAAATAGACAATTTGAAAAAGCAAAAGAAGAAATAAAGGAAACCATAGCGGCACCATATAAACACCAAAGTGAAACAGAGAACACTATTAATAAACAGATAAATGAACTCAGGACAAAAATAGACAACATTAAAGAGGAAACCACCCAGGATATGGAAAACCCCAGAAAAAAGAATGAAACAGAACTGCAAAACAAAATGGAAGGCCAATCCAGCAGAATAGAACAAACAGAAGACAGAATCTCAGAACTTGAAGATGAAATGGAACTTGAAGATGAAATGGTAATTAAAGGAAAAAAAGAAGAACTATTAATTAAACAACTCAAGACTTGTGAAGAGAAAGTGCAAGAAGTCACCGACTCCATCAAAAGACCAGACGTGAGAATCATGGACATCAAAGAAGGAGAAGAGGTGCAAACAAAGGGAATGTGTAATATATTCAACAAAATAATAACAGAAAATTTCCCAAATCTAGAGAAAGATATTCCCATACAGATGCAAGAGGCCTCCAGGACACCAAACAGACCAGATCAAAATAGAACTACCCCACGACATATCATCATTAAAACAACAAGTTCAGAAACTAAGGAAAGAATATTGAAGGCTGTAAGAGAGAAAAAACAAGTAACATACAAAGGTAAACCCATCAAAATCACAGCAGACTTCTCAACAGAAACATTAAAATCAAGAAGAGCGTGGGGTG